ATGGCCTATTTTTTTCACATATTTCCTTTCTTTTAGACTCCTGGCCCATGGCCCCACTTAAACCAACTCTCCTCTTTTTGCCTCCTACCTGTGGATTTGTACTTTTTCCCTCCAAAATAGCCCTTACTTGTAAACTCCCCCAGATCTGAAATTTCCATTTTTCTCATTCTTTGCACACCATCTTGGATGCACAATTATACCTTTTAGCCCTAAGGGTTATGACTCATGCCAGAGATTGAAAAGTAAAACTGTAATAATGAATAGAATATGTAAAGGGACTTAAACAGATGTGTCTTCCTTGCCCATCCTGGGATTTCATGTCACTTGTAAATTTGCGTTCCTAGCCTGACCGAGTCCTTTTGACATTATCTTTGTTTCTGAAAGGCTCCTGGAGGGTGGAGGTTGAGGCTGGCTTACATCACAGATAAGCCCGCTGAAGGGCCAAGAGTCTTACACAATTTCAAGCGCATTCTGGGAATGAGAGTGTTTCCAGGTGCAGTCCTACAGCCTGACGCTAAGGGGCAGCATGTACCAAAAGAAATATCTAGGTCTGCTAAAACCAAGCAGAAACCAAGTAGAAACCACCTTGTTTCTAAATCCCAAGAGCAAAGAAGACAGAGGTCACATTCTCATCTCTCGAATCAGATTATAGCATGACAATTTTACATATACATTCCATTAAGAGTTTTGCCTGCCATCTGAATTCTCCAAGTAAATTCATTTGTGGTTGAATATGATTTAAATATAATACTGCTGAGACATACGTGCTCTGTAAGACTTAGTGCATTTATTAACTTCAGCAACTTAATCTGAAAGTATTTAATTCCAAATTCAAACTGCTTATATTATTTGAAATGACTATTTTCTGTCTCTCCCTTTGATGAAACAAAAGTTTTTTATATGAAGTAAAGGCAATCAAATCTTTAGACAATTAAACTAGACAAGGCTGAAATCTTTAAAGATCTTAGTTTCCCACTATGGGTCCTTTGCTCATTAATCCATCCACCAGCAAAGATTTCTGAGCATTTCCCTCTTATTGTTGGAATTGGTGCTAACATTTCAGAGATGAGCCAGATATCAAATCTGCCATCAAAGGACTCATTCATGGTCCGTAGAGTGGAGACTATATGAGCAGGCTTAAAAAAAAAGTGATTACAGGAATGTGTGCTAAATGAAATGATAAAAACGATAAAGAGATGCTCCAGTGGATAAGAAGACAGGTGGGCATCTACCCAAGGTGGGAGGTTCAAAGTTGGGAAAGTGCTGGAAAACTTCCAAGAGGAGATATTTGAACTGAGCTTCAAAGAATACATACAATGAGCTTTCCAGAATGTGCCAAGGCAAGGAAGAATGAGAGCACAGCATTTTGGTCAGTTTTTAGGCAAGGTGGGACTTTTGACTGCACAGGGGTGAGAGCCGTGATTTGTGCTTTTGCTAAACTGGTCTGACAGCAGAATGGAAATGGGAATGGAGAACAGAAAGTAGAGAGAACAGAAAGGAAGCTACCTCTGTTTTGGTAATAGAGATCAAAATTATGAAGTCCCAAGGTGGGGAAAAATGGAGAGAAATGGGCGAGATCAACTGGTATTTAAAAATAGTGACAGAAGTGGCACATGGGTGGCTCAGTCGGTTAAGCGTCCGACTTCAGCTCAGGTCATGATCTTTCAGTTTGTGTGTTCAAGCCCCGCATCCGGCTCTGCAGTAACATCCGGGAGCCTTGAGCCTGCTTGGGATTCTGTGTCTCCCTCTCTATCTGCCCCTCCCCAGCTTGTGCTCTCGCTTTCTCTTGCTCTCTCTCTCTCAAAAATAAATAAATAGGGGCGCCTGGGTGGCGCAGTCGGTTAAGCGTCCGACTTCAGCCAGGTCACGATCTCGCGGTCCGTGAGTTCGAGCCCCGCGTCGGGCTCTGGGCTGATGGCTCAGAGCCTGGAGCCTGTTTCCGATTCTGTGTCTCCCTCTCTCTCTGCCCCTCCCCTGTTCATGCTCTGTCTCTCTCTGTCCCAAAAATAAATAAAAACGTTGAAAAAATAAATAAATAAATAAATAAACATTAAAAACAAACAAACAAACAAACAAAAATGCTTTCCTTGGGGGGAGAGGCAGGATCATGATGCTGAGAAGCTCAGACCCCCTTGCTTCAGCTCTCATCTCTGCCACAAGCTGTGTGATCCTCGGGTAGTTAGTTACCACAGTCTGTTTCCCCATCTGTATAAACGGGATAGCGTAGTACCTACTTAACAGAAAGTATTACATGAGTTCAAATATGTGCCTGCCACATAGTCAGTGCTATGTATGTGTCAGCTGCTATTATCCTTACAGGAAAAAAAAAAAATATATATATATATATATACACACACACACACACAATTTATATAAGATACATATTATATATGTACCCTTACAAATAAATGTACATGATAGTCTCAACATGTGGTACGCCTTGTTTTTTTCACTTAATGTATCTTAGAAATCTTTTTTAAATTTTTTTTAATGTTTATTTTTCAAAGAGAGAGAGACAGGGGCGCCTGGGTGGCTCAGTCGGTTGAGCGTCCGACTTCAGCCCAGGTCATGATCTCGCGGTCCGTGGGTTCGAGCCCCGCATCGGGCTCTGTGCTGACAGCTCAGAGCCCAGAGCCTGTTTCAGATTCTGTATCTCCCTCTCTCTCTGACCCTCCCCCGTTCATGCTCTGTCTCTCTCTGTCTCAAAAATAAATAAACATTAAAAAACAAAAACAAAAAAAACAAAGAGAGAGAGAGACAGAGAGAGACAGAGCATGATCGGGGGAGGGGCAGAGAGAGGGAGACACAGAATCCAAAGCAGGCTCCAGGCTCTGAGCTGTCAGCGCAGAGCCTGATGTGGGGCTTGAACCCACAAGCCGTGAGAGCATGACATGAGGTGAAGCAGACACTTAACCAACTGAGCCACCCAGGTGCCCCTGGAAATCTTTTTATATCACTACATGGATCTATCCCAATCTTCACTAAAGTTGCATATTATTCCACTGGATGAATGTACCTACATATATTCAAATATTTATCAGGCATTTTGGTTACACCAGGCCCTGTGTAAACGTGACAGATAAACCTTGCCCTTGGTGCAAATCTTGTTATTTTTATTGGGGTTGTGTTGCATACATAGAATTCAGAAAACATTGGCAGCTTTTTTATTTTGGGTCTTCCTACCCAAGAACATTAAAAGAAATGATTCTCACCTGAGTGTTGTCAAGTAATTTGTATCAGTTATAACATAATATAACAATATAATATATAATAATATATAATAATATTGCCATAGTATAACTAATATAAGTGATATATTATGTGCTTAAGTACTTGCTTTTTTCTTTTTTTTTAATGTTTATTTATTTTTGAGAGACAGAAAGAGAGAGAGAGAGACAGAGCATGAGCAGGGGAGGGGCAGAGAGAAAGAGACACACACACAGAATCCAAAGCAGGCTCCAGGCTCTGAGCTGTCAGTACAGAGCCCAACACGGGGCTCGAACCCACAAACCATGAGATCATGACCTGATCCGAAGTCAGACGCTTAACCAACTCAGCCACCCAGGCACCCCTCACCCAGGAAACTGTTAATGGAGAGGGACAAGGGTGGGGAATGGTGGAGAGAGAAATTTACTTCTATTTCAAACTCTTGAGTATTGAAAATATTATGATTTTAGCATATGTGACATTCTTTTAATAATAACACTAATTTAAAAATATTTTTGAAAATTGGACTTTAGGTATCTATTTAGTGAGAACCTCCCCGGGGGAGCTCCAGGGAAGTTTCAGTGGAGTGTGTGGGTGGTAAGAGGGAGGGGGATGGGCTGGCAGAGGCTCCGTCCCAACAGGCTTGTTGAAAGGAAATATAAATATTGCTTTTTATATAATTGAATTTCAGTCTTAAGACAGGCAGTGTTTAAAAGCACAGTAGCCAATTTCTGGCTTTAGTTTTTCTTTTTTCTCTGAGTTTTCTGACTTGGAATCCTGCCTCACGTGGTTTCTTACATACACAGCTGCTCTGGGCTTTTGTTCTTTCTCTTTCCTTCTTTGCTTCCTTGAAAGTGAGGGAGAGGGGCGCCTGGGTGGCACAGTCGGTTAAGCGTCCGACTTCAGCCAGGTCACCATCTCGCGGTCCGTGAGTTCGAGCCCCGCGTCAGGCTCTGGGCTGATGGCTCAGAGCCTGGAGCCTGTTTCCGATTCTGTGTCTCCCTCTCTCTCTGCCCCTCCCCCGTTCATGCTCTGTCTCTCTCTGTCCCAAAAATAAATAAATGTTGAAAAAAAAAAAAAAAAGAAAGTGAGGGAGAGCAGGGGAGGAGCAGAGAGAGAGGATATGAAGCAGGCACCGCAGGCACCATGCTCAGGGCAGAACCCACTTGGGGCTCAATCTCACACACGTTGAGATCATGACCTGAGCTGAAATCAGGAATCAGTTGCTTAACTGATTCAACCACCCAGGCACTCCTGGGATTTTTTTCGGTTTCAGTCTTTTGACTCGGTAATACATTCCTATAACTGAAAAAGTTAGATCAGGGGCGCCTGGGTGGCGCAGTCGGTTAAGCGTCCGACTTCAGCCAGGTCACGATCTCGTGGTCCGTGAGTTCGAGCCCCGCGTCGGGCTCTGGGCTGATGGCTCAGAGCCTGGAGCCTGTTTTCGATTCTGTGTCTCCCTCTCTCTCTGCCCCTCCCCCGTTCATGCTCTGTCTCTCTCTGTCCCAAAAATAAATAAAAAAACATTGAAAAAAAAAAGTTAGATCAGCTGAAAATGTATAAATAAGAACTCTTATTCCCAGCCAGTCTGTCCCACCCTCTTTCCCGTAACTCCTTATAGCTACCACTTCTATTTCTTATGCATCTTTTCAGTGACTCCTTGGGCAAATGCCAGTATATATGCATATATATTCGTGTAGTTTGTGGGGTTTTTTCTTTTGTTACACAGCTAGGATTGCTTTGTTCCTTTCTAACTTGGCTTATGGAGAGCTTCCTCATTCTCCTTTTTTTTACAGCTATACAAGCATCCATTGGATTCGTTTAGTCTGCTCTGTTTATTCCCTTGACCTTGCTCTTGGCCCTGCTAAGGAGTCTACAGGTTTGAACCAGTGTTTCTTCTTTTCTCCTCTATTTTTAAAGCTCTTCCCAGGCACCAACTTCCTAGCACATGAATGTGAGTTACCCATATTCCCCACAGGGAGGGTACTGAAGGCTTCCTCTTTGCCTCTCATTGGCCTTCTCATCTAACACTCACTGGGCTCCGGCCCTACCCTGAGGGCCCTCGGGGCAACAGAGCACACCTGTTCCTTCTGACGATTAAAAACAGACCCAGAGGCCCTTCCATTTGAACCTCTCCTTGCTGGTAATTTTTGTCTTCTGGGGAACAGGCGTGCCGAGGTGGAACCCGGATTTAAAGAGTAGAGTTTAATGATAAACACCAGTTGCTGAATTGTGCCCTGGGGGAACAGGTACGAAATTGGGTATTTTCTTCATCTTCTATTTATTTTTAATCTACGTTTGATTTATTTTTTTTAAATCTATGTTTTAATATCGACCCAATTTGTGTCTGATTGCTAACTTGTGAACCCACTGGAACTGCTAACTTTGGGGGAAGTGGAGATTGGGGAGGAGCAAACTCACCTGCACAGGTCTTCTCGCAGCCTGCCCCAGATGCACAGACGCTTTAACTCAAGAGCATTACGGCCTAGGCCTAGCGAGCGTCCCCCGTGGCGCGGGAGGATTGGGGGAGGCAGTATTCTGTTCTCGTGCATGGGTTGAGGCTTCCCCATCTGCTTCTTTTGAACAAGTGTTTTTTCTCCCCCGAGTGTGGTGGCCAGTCCCTGGAAGTGATCAGGTTAACATGCCCACTCAGCTGGAGATTGCCATGAACATCATGATTAGAATCTTCCACCAGTACTCCTGCAAGGAAGGGGACAGATTCAAGCTCAACAAGGGGGAACTGAAAATGCTCCTGCAGCAAGAGCTCACGGAATTCCTCTCGGTGAGTGGCAGCTTACACATGCAAGGGTAACCTGTACGGTCTCCTATCACTCTGCCACAAACAGTGCGATTGATTTTGGGTTGTTTTTAATGTTTATTTTTGAGAGAAAGAGACAGAGAGAGAGCACTGGGGAGGGACAGAGACAGGGAGACCGAGGACCTGAAGCGGTCTCTGTGCTGACTGCAGTGAGCCCGATGCCGGGCTCGAACTCAGGAACCTTGAGATCATGACCGGATCCGAAGTCGGCAGCTCAACCAACTGAGCCCCCGAGGTACCCCTAAACAGTGCAGTTTGCACTGAGATTCAAAAGCCAGGCAAGCAAACAGTAGAGGCCTTGGTTTTCTGTGTACTGTCAATTCCTGAACAACACAGGTTTAGGCTGCGTGGGTCCTCTTCTCTGTGGATCTTTTACAGTGCAATCCTCCTGTAAGTGTATTTTCTCTTACGATTTTTTTTTAATTTTTTAATTTTTATTTTAAAAAACAATTTTTTTTAACATTTATTTATTTTTGAGACAGGGAGAGACAGCATGAACGGGGGAGGGTCAGAGAGAGAGGGAGACACAGAATTTGAAGCAGGCTCCAGGCTCTGAGCTGTCAGCACAGAGCCCAACTCGGGACTGGAACTCACAGACCATGAGATCGTGACCTGAGCCGAAGTCGGCCACTTAACCGACTGAGCCACCCAGGTGCCCCTCTTGGGATTTTCTTAATAACGTTTCTCTCCTCTAGCTCTCTTATTGTAAGAGTACAGTATATAATACCTATCACATACAAAATATGTGTTAATCTACTGTTGATGTTATCAGTAAGCCTCCTGTGCTCAGCAGGCTATTAGCAGTGAAGTATCTGGGAGGTCACAACTTTCTGGGGAGTCAAAAGTTGTGCACAGATTTTCATGTCTTTAGGAGGGTTGGGCCTCCCTAACCCCTGTGTTGCTGGAGAGTCAGCTGGAGGTAGGCGTGGACCCTTCTCCATATCGCCTGTGGCTAGGGTTTCCCAGGGTTGTAAATGATATTTAGGCTTTCCTCAATTATTCAACATTCCTGGGCAGCAAAGAAGCAGCTAGTTTTACCGGGAGTTTTGGTTATAACTAGTGGCCCTAGTTACCCCTGCGGCTTTGTCTAGTTGTCTATGAAATTAATATTATGTATTATGCCAGAAATGAAGCCCAGGGGACTTCACGCTGTGGTGACAAATACTTAGCTTTGTCAGGAAGCAGAGGCTGATTCTTCGTGACAGAAAGGGTGTGTCTGGCCAGTGACCAGTTGGGTAGCAAAGAGATTCACATCTCAAAATAGCCAGGAGTTAATAAATCTACACGTAAATAAAGGCTTACAATGAAGTGTTTGGGGGCTCTTCCCTTCTGAGGAAAACGCTTTACTCTGATGTTTATGGGGCTGCCTTGAATTGACTGGAGCACAATGTGCTGCCCTGGCGTGATGTTATTTGTCCAAACCCTGTATTAAGACTCTAGTGTTTGGGGTGCCTGGGTGGCTCTCGGTTAAGCGGCCGACTTCGGCTCAGGTCATGATCTCGCGGTCCGTGAGTTCGAGCCCCGCGTCGGCTCTGTGCTGACAGCTCAGAGCCTGGAGCCTGTTTCAGATTCTGTGTCTCCCTCTCTCTGACCCTCCCCTGTTCATGCTCTGTCTCTCTCTGTCTCAAAAATAAATAAACGTTAAAAAAAAAATTAAAAAAAAAAAAGACTCTAGTGTTTGTAATCACAACACTCTTTTCTCCTCCGCCTTCTTTAGGAAAACTTTAAAGTCAAAAATTTTTTTCAGGGGCACCTGGGTGGCTCAGCCGGTTCAGTCAGCTCAGGTCACGATCTCACGGTTTACGAGTTTGAGCCCGTCATCGGGCTCTGTGCTAACAGCTCAGAGCTTGGAAGCTGCTTCAGATTCTGTGTCTCTTTCTCTCTCTGCCCCTCCCCTACTCGCTCTCTGTCTCTCTGTCTCTGTCTCTCTCAAAAATAAATAAACATTAAAAAAAATTTTAAAAATACTTTTTCAAGTAATCTCTATGCCCAGTGTGGGGTTTGAACTCATGACCCTGAGATCAAGAGTCACATGCTCTACCGACTGAGCCAGCCACGCACCCCTAAAGTAAAAAAAATTTAACATAGTAATTCTTTAAAAACAATTTTTTTAAGTTTATTTATTTATTTTGAGAGAGACAGAGACAGCCCGAGGTGGGCAAGGGCAGAGAGAGAGAGAGAGAGAGAGAGAGAGAGAATCCCAAGCAGCCTCCTTGCTGCCAGCCTAGAGCCTGACTTGGGTTTGAACTCTCCAAACCATGAGATCATGACCTGAGTCAAAACCAAGAATCAGACGCTTAACTGACTGAGCCACCCAGGTTCCCCTAACACTGTAATTCTCCGCAGTACCTTTTTAGTGATTTTAGGAGTCCCCAGGAACTTAAAAAAAATTTTTTTTCAAATTCTGGTCCCACCTTGTGTTCCACACTGATGATGCAGAGACAGACTGCTTGGGATTCTCTGTCTCTCCCTCTGTCTCTGCCCCTCCCCTGCTCTCTCTCCTCTCTCTCTCAAAAGAAATAAATAAACTTATAAATAAATCAACTACCAATCATAGGACAAGTGAGTGCTTCCTAGTCCCACCCTTTCTGGACCCTGACCCCTCTATGGGCTCCGTGTTGTACTTTGCGCCCCTAACATGCAGTGCTCCTTACAAGATGTATACTTCATTAGGTGCCTCTTTTGTGTGTGTCTGTCAAGTGTTGTGCTAAGTAAGGCTGTCAGATAAAATATTGTACTTCCCACGCAGTATTTGGGACATACTTCCAAAATTACTTATTGTTCATCTGAAATTCACATTTACCTGGCTGTCCTATACTTTTATTTACTAAATCTAGCAACCTGGTGTTGAAGTACGCCCCAACTCTGTGGGGAGATATTTTCCTCATTTTATAAATAAGGAAATTAAAAAATGTTAAGTGATTTGCTCACGGTCGCATTGTTGGTAAATGGTAGAGCCACTTACTATCCCCTTTTGGCTTTAAAGCCTGCTTTGTTCCATGTCTCCTGTTCTGGCCCTCAACCTTTGAAGTTGCGTAAATGCTTTTTCAGGATCAACAGCTCACTCTGATGCTGTTTGCTCTTCTCGGTGTGAATTATATGGCCTGAGCCAGAATTATGTGGCCAGAATTATATGGCCTTGGGGCAGAAGGCTAGACTCATTTAGAATTGGTGCTTGCTTTAAATCTACCTGCGAATGGGCTCTTGGAAATGGCCCTTAGATTCTGAAATGGAAATTAAAACTTTAGTGTAAATAAGAGGACAATGCGATTTCATTATGAACCTCAAAGCCTGGGAGTTAGTAACGTTCTCTTTCCTTTTAGTGCCAGAAGGATCCCCAGTTGGTTGATAAGATAATGCAGGACCTGGATGCCAATAAGGACAACGAAGTGGATTTTAATGAATTCGTGGTCCTGGTGGCAGCTCTGACAGTTGCTTGTAACGATTACTTTGTGGAACAACTGAAGAAGAAAGGAAAGTAAAGATAAGTAGTAAGCTGACCTAAGGGCAGAAATATATCCATAGTTATTTGCTTCCTGTTCATCTGCAGTCTTCAGACCTATAGTTATAGTAATGCCATTAATAGAAATAATATACATATAACTAATTGCTAGCATTATTAAATGGTGTGTACCTGAATACATTGATTTAAATATTCCAAATCGTATAGGCCCTGCTCGAAATCTTCCTGTCCCATTAAGGACGTTGTATGCCTTTTTGTGTCTGTCAAAGAGCAAGCGTCCCAAAATTTCACCACTTCCAAATGAGACGAAAGCTTAGCACACTTCTAAGAGACACTTCTCCCCCTGAAATCGTATCTGGAACTTCTTATCCCATGAATGAAAAGAGGTGGCTCTCCCACCCTCTGGTGATTCTGCTTCACATGGAAGAAGCTGCGCAGGTCTGTAAGCAGAAAGGCTGATAAACAGAAGGGCTGGCTTTGTCAGTGAGATAGGTCAGGAGAGGGCGCCATATTCAGAGCTAGGTATTCAAGCCACAAGAGCTGAAGCCAGCAGCTCTTGAAGGCTGGTGTATAAGTACCTCCCTTTGCTCCTTGGGTCCCCTAATTCTGGGGCACGTATTTTACACCACTTCCCAGGGCTTCCCCTGGGGCTAAGCTTCAGTTGCCTGCCCTGGGAGGCTGGCTTGATATCACACCTTCTCTGGCCTACCTCCTTTTCTTTGTCTCACCACACACGCCCACCCTGTGTCTCTGCCCCTCTCAAATAGCTGACTCGCATGCAAATCCTTGACCCACCATCTGCCCCGGGGGGAACCTAGACTGTGGCAAGATCCCTCGGAGAATTTTAGAAAGAAAATGGTGGGTTGTGCATGAAAACGCTTACCCTGGCTGCTGTTTGAAGAAAGGGCTCTAGAGAGGGCCAGTGTGGAAGAGAGAGACTAGTTAGGAGGCCGTTCTTTGTTCTGAGTGAGAGGTGATGGTGTCCCAGGCCAGGATTCGAGCAATGGAGATCAACTTGTTAAGTGTTTTGGATGTGGGAGTGGTAGGACGTGCCAATGGACTGGTGAGGAAGGGTCAGAAAAGAGAGCACCACAGGGCAATAGAGCACTCACTGCTCTTGCCTATCCTATGAATGTTCTCCCTTTCTTCCATGTATTAGGGCCCTGATTTGTGTGGGCTCGTAATCAATGTGCCCAGCTAAAAAAGCTGTATTTCCCAGTCTCCCTTGCAGCTGAGGTGGAGCTTGTAACACAGTTCTGGACAACAGGACTCAAGCAGAAGTCTCCTGGGAATTTTGCTATTTCCATACAGGTTCTATACCTTCACCTTGTTAATTCGTTCCTTGTCTTTCCGTTGGAATGTAGATGTGAGGCTGGAGGTGAGGCTGCCAGCTTGCAACCATGAGGATAGTGAAGAAAAAGATAGAAGGAATTGGGACATTGTGGTCATTGAGGAGGCACGGCACAGCCCTGGTCTGCCTGTCTCTGGTCCTCCTATTGTGTGAAAAAAGAATGACTGTTCTCTGGTTAAGCCGAATTCTGTACATGGAGCCAAACATAGTCTCTAATGTTTAGATTTTTGGTCAAGCAAATGATGCGATTTACTAAATGGGAAAGACTGAGAGAGGAACAGCTTTAGTGTGGGGACATTGGGGAGAATAGCTCCATTTATTTATTTATTTATTTTTATTTTATTTTATTTTATTTTTTTCAATATATGAAATTTATTGTCACATTGGTTTCCATACAACACCCAGTGCTCATCCCAAAAGGTGCCCGCCTTAATACCCGTCATCCACCCTCCCCTCCCTCCCACCCAAATAGCTCCATTTAAAATGCCTACTGAAGGGGCGCCTGGGTGGCGCAGTCAGTTAAGCGTCCGACTTCAGCCAGGTCACGATCTCGCGGTCCGAGAGTTCGAGCCCCGCGTCAGGCCCTGGGCTGATGGCTCAGAGCCTGGAGCCTGTTTCCAATTCTGTGTCTCCCTCTCTCTCTGCCCGTCCCCCGTTCATGCTCTGTCTCTCTCTGTCCTAAAAATAAATAAACGTTGGAAAAATAAATAAATAAATAAATAAAATTAAAAAAAAAAAAATGCCTACTGGACATCTAAGTGGAGATATTACATGGGCAGTTGGATAGATGATCCAGTCCAGAGCTCAGGGTAAGGAGTGGAATTAGAGATCCACATTTGGAAGTCATTAGCATCTAGATGATATTAAGCCATGGGCCTAGAGATCACTTAGGATGAGAATGTAGGGAGGGAAGAAGAAATATCCAACAGTTAGCTGTCAGGAAAAAAAAGAAACCAGCAAATCATACAGCAGAGGCATGGCCAGGAAGACAGAAGGAAAACCAGGAGAGTATGGTGCCTCAGAAGACTGGAGAAGAAAGTATTTGAAGAAAGGAAAGAGGGCAAATGCACTGAGAGGAGAAGTTAAGATGACAGTGGAGAACTAGCCATTACATTTGCCATGGTAGAGATGATCAAAGACATCAATGACCCTGGTGAGAGTGATTTTGCTTGCAAAAGTATCTATGTCCCAGTCTGGCAGACAGTAGACACTCAATAAATATTTGTTAAGTAAATGAAAGAAACTGTCAACTGGTGATTTTCTAGTGCTAGGACCTGTCATTATTTTTTCTTTAAATACAAAAATATTTGGGGCGCCTGGGTGGCCCAGTCGGTTAAACATCCTACTCTTGATTTTGGCTCAGGTCATGATCTCACAGTTTGTGAGATTGAGCCCCAGGTCAGACTCTGCACAAATAGCAAGGACCCCTTGCTTGGGATTCTCACTCTCCCTCTCTCTGCCCCTCCCCCACTTGCACGCATGCATGTGCACGTACTCTCCCTCTCTCTCTCTCTCTCAAAAATAAATAAACATTAAAAAATAAATAAATAGAAGGGGTGTCCAGGTCCTCAGTCGGTTAAGCCTCCAACTTTGGGCTCAGGTCATGGTCTCACGGTTTGTGGGTTCAAGCCCCTCATTGGGCTTTGCGCTGACGATGTGGAGCCTGCTTGGGATTTTCTCTTTCTCCTTTTTTTCTCTGTACCTCCCCTACTTGGTCCCTCTCTCTTTCAAAATAAATAAATAAACTTAAAAAAAAAGAATAATGTTTTTGTCTCTCACAAACCAGTTCTGAGCAGACAGGATAGGGAGCTTTAGATGTCAGAGCATTCAAGAGAAGAAATGTATACTCTTAGTATTGACTCCTGTCTCTCAAAAGGTTGGGGAAGAATGAGAAGAAAAAAAGTGAACCACATATTTCAGAGGGGCTCAGACTTTGTTCTTAGAAGATGGTACACTACTTACGCAAGAGAAGGTCTGAATATTTCTCAGGGGCTTTTAAACATTTCATTTTAATTTGGTTCAAAGTTTACAATCCTAAGATGGGTCACCAAAACATGAAAAGTAAATCCAAACTTTTCCTCACATCCAATTCAAGAAAGGATGTTCTCAACATAGAGAAATAAATGAAGAAACAATGTTCATTTCATGCTCTTTCTAAAAATCGATTAAAAATAAGGAAAAGCAATTTATGTGTCAAATTAGATTTCAAGTGCATAAGATTACTTGATGCAGCAAAAGCTCTTTCCTAGTGAAGGCCAGGGTGGGCTTTCTCTTGTGTGTGTGTTAGGTATGTGCAGTACATTTGTAGGAGGCAAAACTGATCATTTCTGCTGCCTGTAGGCACTGGCTTTTGCATTTGTGGCCGTTTAAATCAACTTTAAACAATATTCCAGGGTTGTCTCTGCATTAGTACATTCTCATGTTTAACATTTACCCAGTGTGGTTATTAGAAGACAAGGTTTATGGGAGACAGAAGCCTAGGTCTCTTTGGGGCCCTGAGTTTGAGATGTGGCCAGCAATACAAATAGCTAGAAAGCAAACAAACAAACAAAAAACAACCAAAAGTAAAACAAAAACAAAACAAAACAAAAAAACGTACAAAATACCACAAAACCTTAAGTTTTAATTAAAAACAGTTTCTTTTTCCCCCAAGAAAAGGCTTTCCAGAGGCAGAAACCTGAAGTTGAGTCTTTGATAAAACAAAGAAATGGGAGAGTTAATTACAGGAAAAGAATTTGAGGGGTGCCTGGGTGGCTTAGTCCAATGAGTGCCCGACTTTAGCTCAGGTCATGATCTCACGGTTCGTGAGTTTGAGCCCCACATTGGGCTCATGGCTGTCAGTGCAGAGCCCGCTTTGGATCCTATGTCCCCCTCTCTCTCTGCCCCTCCTCTGCTCATGATCTTGCTCTCAACAATGAATAAACGTTAAAAAAAAGAGAGAGAATTTGGATGTAGTCCTGCAGGGTTGAAGAGGGCAATGCAAGTGGTCTGGTGCCCCCTAGCATGTAGGGGTGGGAAAGAAAGCAGGAGATGGGGCTGGAGAGGTAGACAGGATTCAGGATGGGAAAGGGCCTTTGGTGCTAATTTGAGAAATTTGAAATTCATCTCATCTATTTATCGATCTTTTTTTTTAAGTCCAAGTTTAGTGTAGTAATGGTTTCAGTAGTAGAATTTACTGATTCATCACTTACATATAACACCCAGGGTTCATCCAAACAAGTGCCCTCCTTAATATCCATCACCTGGTTAACCCATCCCCCCACCTCCCGCAACCCTCAGTTTGTTCTCTGTATGTAAGAGTCTCTTATGGTTTGCCCTGAAAATTATCTTGACTATCATGGGAAACCGTTCCACAGTTTTATGCATATTTTTTTAATTTAAAGCCATTTGTTTGTTTCTCAATACTCCCCTAAATTTTTTAAATCTTTGAAGCAGTGAATTTTGAACCCTAAGTTGACATTACATTCACCTGAGATATTATTAAAAATATATATGAGTAAGCTCCACCTCCCACAAAGATTCTGATTCAATTGGTCTGGAGATGGGGCCCAGGCATCAGCATTTTTTAAAGAGCATCAGTTGATTCTAAATGCAAACAGGGTTGAAAATCACTGCTTTTATGATGCCTCGCTTAATCAGATCAACATCTGGCTGGGAAGTGTCTAGGACAGCAGCTGTTCCAACTTTAATGTGTAGGTGAATCACCTAGGGATCTGATTCAGCTTTAGTATGTCTGGGCTGGAGCCTGAAATTGTGCATTTCTGACAAAGTCACAGGTGATGCTGATGGTGCTGATAGAAATGGTCTAGACTCTAGGGGGGAAGAGAAAAGAGTGAAGTGTCATTTTG